CTGTGAAGATACAGAACTAACCCTGCCACTCCTATATATTGTACGTGTGTATACGGCACATCATGTAACCACATTTAGGGTTTTAAAACATGTAACTGAAGCAAGTGTGAGGACTTAATACACTTTCCCTTGAACTGCTTAGCAAAGACAACAAAACTAAAGTGATAAATAATATTTTTCAACCATTAATTGAAACCAAAGCATACTTATTGTTTAAAAAGCAAGTGTTTCAAATATATTTGAAAAAAGGTTAGATGCTTCAAGAAGTACTGTGTTTCAAAAGATGTTATGTTTTCCAAGCTTGTGAGTATCGGTTCAGGATAAGTTTTCCTTGAAAATAAATTAGTTAACTACTACAGAAAGGACGTGGAAGGTTGTTGAGAAATTAATTCCTCTTGAGTAAAGGTTCTTTTCGGAATTATTTATTTCAATGTGTATGAAACAGTAAAATAAAAAAATCCTAAGACAATAAAATGCTTTCAAGGCTTTAGGCAGTCAAGGTACTCCTAAAGACCACAGGTAGCTTCAATACCAATTTTCAGAAGTCTGCACCACCACTGCAAACACCTAATTGAATAAAGATTTAAAGCTTGAGCAGGTGACTGGGAAATTCCTATCTGTGACCAGAGCCAAGTGCAGTTATCACTGTGTCAAGCCAGAGAGATTTTGGGAGAGTGAGAGCTGATGCAATTATCAGTTCGATAATTAAAAGAAAAATAGGAAGAGGTTAGTTCTTCTTTTGATTTATCACCCTCAGATGCATGATTTCAAGCACAGTTCCTCCCTCACAGCCCAGATGGAGTGTCAACACTGTCCTATAGTCTGGTTTCCAAAACTCATATTTGCTGCTGCCCAAACTTGGAGAAAGGGTAGGAAAACAAGCCAAGCATGCAGCACAAGCCAGGCAGCTGGCACAGCAGTTGCCTTGTTCTGTGCTGTGGCTCAGATGTTGCTTAAAGCTTGAGTATTTATTAAGATAAGTTTTTATATGGCTGTGGATTCTACACACAGGTCTTGGTGATTTGCTAGGTAGGCTCAGACCAGGCTTAATTTTTCCATTAGTTTTAGCCTTGGTGACTATTTTGGAAGCACAGTATTAAAGAGACTTTTTTCCCCTTCCAGAAAAAAACCCCAACAAATAACCAGTGTTCTTACTGAAGTACTACAGGTGCTAAGGACACATTTTTCTGTACTGCCGAATTTGCATCCTATAGCACCAGCACAACTCCAGCATAACAAAAGGAAATTAGTTGACTGTAATCAACACAACTTGTAAATAATTGTCACCCTATTTACCACATCAAACCGGGTCCAGTTATTCCCGCAGTACTGCAGTGTGCTCAAGGACAAAAGACTTGGACAATTCGCTTTTGAATTATTACAGAGGTGATCAGGGAGCTACCTGAGCCGAGCCAGAAGTGAGAAACAGTGACTAGCTGCCTCGTACCGACGTTCCAGGGATAACCTGCTTCAGCAGGGGAGTTGGACTAGATGATCTCTATGGTCCCTTCCAACTCTAAAATTCAGTGAAATTCAGTGAAACCCCTCCTGAGGAGCTGGGCTACAGGTCTGGGCTCAGCACCACGCGCCCAGTGCCGAACATCCCGCTCCTCCAGCCTGAAGCAGAGGAAAAGCCAGCTCCTGTCTGCTAAAAACACAGCAAACAGGAACGTCAGTTGCATAAACATTTGTGCAAATTAAGGTAGACTCATGGTGGTATTACTGAAGTTTGTAAGAAACAGAATTTACACAGATCTATTTTTATTAATATTATTTAAATAAGCGTGCTAAACAGATTTTGGAAGCAATAGTTAAGATGAACAGGCAGAAATAAGGCCAGTCGACAGAAGAACTGTAATACACACAGGAGATGCGATGCTGGAGTAATTGCAGCCAAATGACACCAGGCTGTCTGTCCACATTTTTTAATGAAGCGTTTGCATCCTTTTAAGGTTTAACCATATGTGTTTAAGAGTTAGGCTAAATATATTCTTGGCAGAAAATGAATGACCACATTTTTTCCTAATCCTTTCCTTATAAAAAAATACACTTGAGAAAAATTAGCAGTGCTCAGCATGTCTTTCCACCCAGGACTGCAACAGCAGATTACTCCTGTGTTGCCCTCCTTTGGTGACCTGCTCTTTTACAGAAGTCACTTAACACAGACCCCAGGCCAGTAAACCCAGCCGAGCTTGGCTGACTGCCTACCAAGCCTGTGTCTCTGCCCCGAGCTTTCCCATGCTTTGGTTCCCCGGACATCATGCTGCAGGCACTGAAATTCCCTCTGCATGGAGGGACAAGGGTTCAGGAGAACATATTGGGTTGGACTGTGCCACCTACATGATCCTATCTTACATTTCAACTCAACAACGCACATTCCCACTGCATACAAAGCCATAAGCACACCATCTTCCCAGGCAGGGAAGAGCTAGAAAAAAACCTACTAACATATATATAATATTTTAGTATACTAACAGATACAGATTCTTGGTTCACATACTCCAGAAGCAGCCATAGACCCTCTGCTTGGCAAACAACTGCTCAGCTGATCCAAACTGACCCTACTCAGCCCTACATTGAAACTGTCCTACTGAGGCTAAGATCTGACTTTGACATCTAAAGCAAGTAAAGTACACTTGAGGTCTCTTTTAGAGCACCACGGGTGGAAAGCTATACTGGGAAGCTGTGTATTTTTGATTACAACTCCCCAAGTACATCAGTGCAGCAAGAAGAAAGTGCACACCTTATAGAGGTAACACATCACTGATTTCCATTACAACTAACTTCTAACAACCACCTCTTTTAAAGTGAAAAATACTTTGAAAAGAATAAATTAGATGTACTTAATAATGAAGTCCAAATAACATCTACTTTTCCTAGAAAACAGCATTAAAACAGTCTGTTTTAGGGAATGGGGAATTTAGGGAATGAACTTCTCAGCGCTTCTTTTACACATACTAATTAGGAGACTAATCTTCCAAACTTGGTCCCACTGTAGAATATGCATTTTGGCTTTTTTTACTCTTCACTTGGCCTCCAGAGGTACAGGATTAGGTAATTAAAAATAAAATAAAATAAAATAAATAAAATCAATAAAATAAATAAAATAAGAGTCCTTCCATATAAAATAGGGTCTCAGAATGCTTTCAGAAATTGGGGGTAGATTTTTTTTTTTTTTTCAGAAAAAGGGCTCTGAACCCAGACTGCTCACTACAGAAAAGATCTTCCTTTCTTGCCAAGGCATGCTGGATTACTTCTGAAATCATTAATAACCCAGTTATCATTTCACTTTGAGGAAAGAACAGCGTTTTTGACTTCTATGATCCTCCAAACTTTTATTCAAGCAGCTTTCATAATGCAGCAAACCTGCATTAATAAACTTATTCACTGCCTGTAAATAATCCATGTAGCAACAGATGTCCAGAAGCCTTTCAGCTCCTATGGGTGCAAAGTCTCCACACTGCTTCAGCATCAAGGCTTGGTAACTGTCAGTGGAATGTGAACAAGGCAAGGACAGCTTCTAAAAGGACTCCACTGAAGCCATGCCTTTGCCTTGGACAGCAGGTGTGAGTAAACTCTCGAGTTTTATTCCCAAAAACCTGCTCTGGGATAAGTGACACAACTGAAGCAACACTCTGAGACCACTGGAAAACCTTTAATTCTGGAAAAAAGAAGTTAAAAACAATGTAAAAAGACTATTTGCTGCTCAGAGATTTACGAAACTCTCAAAAATAGCAATAAAGAATAATTGATATACCTATTAGTTAAATTATTTGGATCAGTGCATATACAGCATTTTATTTGTGGAATAGGACTGTGGAGAAAGCCTGCTCTTTAACTGCACAAACTGGTTTTTCTCCACTAGACTGCTAAAATAAATTCAAGTCCCAACTGTACTGTGCTGGTGTAGTAGAGGGGATTTTTGCTTTTAACATGGAGCAACAAACCAAAGTCCAGCTGTTACCTAAATCCACTCGCCAGAGCCAAGTGATTCTGCATAGCAGCACACCCCGCAATATTTAGACTACAAGTACTGCAAAAAGCTTTCCTTTCCCAAATACATTACGTGCTGGCCATGTCAAACAGAAAAATGACATCCAAATGTCCCATTTCAGTGGAGTCACAGAAAAGTACAGTGTATCTCCACTTTTAACTCTCTCCTGGTTTTGAGTCTCTATTTCCCATCGAGTATTTCAAAGATAGGAAGATCACCAAGTATTTCAAAATGTCCTACCCAACACAACAGTATTTGCTTTTATTTCCCCACAAGACTACTTGAAAGATTTTAAACTAAATGTTAGCTATAGTGTAGTACACACTACATGAGTACCCAAAGACATAACTTGCATTTCTTTTGCTTTAATATTCTGTGTATACACTGCACACAAACCAAGTTGTGAAGGACCATTCTAACAGCTAGCTTAGCTTATCCTCATCATCGGGGAAAAAACCCCTAGATGCACCTTGAAAGCACACACAAAGGCATCAAGGAGAAAGCGGACTCCTTATCCCTGAAGAAAAAGCAATTCCCAGGGGAAATTCAGTTACATACTTACATATCTTGAATACTTCCATCTCACACGCATCACTGAATTAGGAACACAGAAACCCTGAAGAACTAAAGTGTCCTCCATCAAAATGCCAGAAGCAAACTAAACCAAGTGAGATCAGAGACGACACATCAAGACTGATGGAAAAGTTCAGCAGCTTCTCAATTCTTTCCTCTACCGCCTACATCACCAGAACAAAGTCAGACCAAGTTTCTGTGGATTTGCAGCCTGTGATAGATGTGGTTTTGTGGCTCAATATTTGTGAGCTCCACCTGCGGACCCTGGAGAAATGGGATCTAGAGTCCCTTCCCATGTAGGTTGCCTAGCATCAGGAGGCTCACAGCTAGGCCACAGCCCTTCTGTCAGACACAGCACTTGGCAAGTGTCTCCTTCACCCTACACTCCTCACAAAACTCATAGGAATAATCCACCATACCTTTAGGTACCCACCTGACTCACTCCAAATCAGCTAACATGGAAAGCTGCTGGGGAAAGGAGAAAGAGGACAAAAAGAGTTTGATGACAGAACACAAAATAATCTCACTACTACTTTTTCTTAAATACATTGCATGAAAATCTCTATGTACCAAGAACACCCCTGCAAATCTCATTTACTTACAGATTTGGCCACTGCTATCTGCTTCCTTGATACACTCTTTGAAGAAATAGTCACACACCATGTTTTGCAAGCACTCTTAGGAATTATTTCCCCCACACACACACATGCAATCCGTGTACTTTTGAAGCACAAGGATGGCATCACAGGCCAACAGCAAGTTTTCTTTCAAATCTTGCATACTGCAGCAATAATGAACATCAATTAGCCACAACTGCTAGAATTTGTATAGGCTAATTACAGCCTGAGCATTCGTTCAGCACAGCAAATCTCACAACACGAAGCTGGTAGGTGCACAGCAGAAGCCCCAAGAGCTCCGATACCATATGCCTCAGCTTGCAGTTCAACTCCTCAGGTGATTAAATCTCCTCCAACAGCACCATCTGCTGTTACACTACATAAATAAATGATTTTGCACCTCTTGCTCCCTTGATCAAGGAAATCTAGAGCCCATCTCCAAATTAGAAATAAATTAGAATGTTTGCAGATTAAACAGTTAACTAGTAAACAGTTTACTACAGCAAACTATTTTGTAACCTATATTTATCACAAGGTTTTGGTTTAGGTACCACTACCTATCCTAATTATTGGCGTACTTCGAGGACTGAGCATCTAATTTTTAACATACATTATTTCTGAAGGCCTCCTCAAACACTTGTGACTGTCAGAAATGTATTTAAGGCATGTTTCCAGGGAAAATGTGATAACCATTCAGAGAAGAAAACTGAGCAGCCTAGATCTCCCAGTAACACCAGTATTGTCACCATCATTTAAAAAATAATAGATACAGCTACACAGTGGTGCTAAGGAAAATAATAGGTAATTGGAAGAAAAATACAAAATAGTTTCAAAGGAGGTTAAAAAAGTTTCAAAGATCTTGAAGATACTTTATTTAAAAAAAAAAAAAAAAGAGTCATGCAAGGTGGGGTGATGGTTGGTGTTAGGAGACAGACTTGTCAATTGGACATATTTCCTCCTTTCACTGAATTTCACTGAATTTCACTGAATTTCTAGAGTTGGAAGGGACCATAGAGATCATCTAGTCCAACTCCCCTGCTGAAGCAGGATTGCCTAGAGCTAGAGCATGTTACTCAGGACTGCATCCAGGCGGGTTTTGAAAATCTCCAAGGAAGGGGACTCCACACCCTCCCTGGGCAGCCTGTTCCAGGGCTCTGTCACCCTCACCGTGAAGAAGTTTTTCCTCATATTTGAGTGGAACCTCTTATGTTCCAACTTGTGCCCGTTGCCCCTCGTCCTCTCACTGGGAACCACTGAAAAGAGTCTGGCTCCCTCCTCCTTCAACCCTCCCTTGAGATACTTGTAGGCATTGATAAGGTCTCCCCTCAGCCTTCTCTTCTCCAGACTAAAGAGTCCCAGCTCTCTCAGTCTCTCCTCATAAGGGAGATGCTCCAATCCTTGAATCATCTTTGTTGCCCTTCGCTGGACTCTTTCTAGTAGTTCCCTGTCCCTCTTGAACTGGGGAGCCCAGAACTGGACACAGTACTCCAGTTGTGGCCTCACCAGTGCAGAGTAGAGGGGGAGAATGACCTCCCTTGACCTGCTGGCCACACTCTTCCCTATACAACCCAAGATACCATTGGCCTTCCTGGCCGCAAGAGCACACTGTTTACTCATTGTCATTTTACTGTCCACCAGGACCCCTAGATCTTTCTCTTCAGTAGTTGCCTCTAGCGGGTCCACCCCTAACCTATACTGGTACCTGACATTTTTCTTCCCCAGGTGCAGGACCCTACACTTTTCCCTGTTGAACCTCATGAGGTTCTTCTTTGCCCAGCCCTCCAGCCTGTCCAAGTCTCGCTGGATGGCAGCACAGCCCTCCGGGGTGTCAGCCACCCCTCCCAGTTTGGTATCATCAGCAAACTTTCCCACCACAAACAGTTACCAAGCTCAGCTCAAGCACTCAGCAAACTCAAGACCTCCATGGGAGCTTTGCATATTTATTTTATTAATGTGGGTTGGATACAAATTTGCAGTCAGAGGGTACATAATTTTTTGTAATTTGTACATGGACTTGACACAATTAGATATTTCTTAACAATATCTTCTCTATTTTCAGTCTGTACTGATCCAGTATTTTTGAAGGAGTTTAGTATACAAACATAAATAAAAGTTACACATAGAATAAGAAAGTTTTAAATAACTCTTTAAATGCATTAAGATGAATTCTCTCCTCCAAGTTATGATCTGAATGCATCAATCAGAAAACAAAGAATCTCATTATATATTTGCAAATACAGTTCTGCTTACCTTTTCAACTATCAGAGGCACATGCTGATTCTGCAATCTGCAAAAAAGAGGAAACACAATTACTAGTTTTTCTTTTACAAATGTAAGTGCATTACAAATGGCAACTCCTGACCTTGAAAGGGACAAATTTCTGATTCTGTAAGAATAAGTAGTATGTTCTGCATATACACAGTCACCAAGCCAATTCCCTTGTAACCCCAGTAAAGGGAGCGGGAGAAACAACTCTCGACATTCCTGGTTCGGAAAAAAAAAATTAAAAAAAAAAAAATAAAGACTGAAGCTGTTTAGTACTTGGGGCCAGGAGAAACATCCCAGAGGTACAAGCAGCCATTTAACAGAACCCAATCTGCAATCTCTGCACCTTCAATCAGAAAGGGTCAGCAAAAAATTTGGCCAATAATGGCTTAAAACTAAAGTCTTAAAACTAAAAACTTAAAATAACTTCTGCGTTACCACAGACAATTTATCCTGCAAGAAAATCTAAAGTGGTCTTCTTGTTAGATTTTTTTCTTTTAAATTTAGATCTTAAATTTTATTTTTAGTGGTTGATTTTAATCCATATAATCAACATCTGACGCCTTTTCAAACACCCGATTCCTGACACTACTGGCATCAGCTGGCTTCCTCCTGAAGTGCTTGCAAAACTGGAAAATCCCTCAATGACCAGGAAAGGGGTAGGAAAGAAATGGCAGATGTCAGTTAAGAAGGATACAGGATAAAGGGAAGCACTAATGCTGCAAGAAACTTTATTTCCAGAAATACATATAAACTGCATGGCTGTTCAATCAGGAGCAGATTATTTTATTTTTGCAGATATCTGCCTAGTTATAAGAAAATATTTATGTGACTTTATCAATGTGAACATACACTATTCTAAAATGGTTCAGCAAATCACAGAAGCTGTTTCCAAAGCAACAGAATATTTCAGTCAAGTGGGTACTTTCTGCAAAAACACACATAGAGACCAGCAGTTGAGTGGGGACATCACCTGTGCCTGTAAAGGAATTTGATATTTGCACATTGAAAAGAAAAAGATTCTCTGCTGTTACGCTGCCCACAAAAGGGTGCTGGCACCCTACACTTCATTAGGAGGCATTTCCCAGTAATCCAGAAAAATATGTCAATGTTACACTGGTGTTAGCATGAAGTAGTAAAAATGCCTAGAAAACTCAATGCAGTGTCAACTGAAGTCAGCTTCCCATGCTGCAATGGACTATACTCAAGCCCACCAAATGGGGATACACCATTACAGCACGATGACTGACCATTTTCTTCAATATTTTCCCAAACTAGCAGACCCACATCCACAACAAGAACTCTTACAAACCCTTGGAATATAAACTATAAACTGCGTGTGACTTGAAATTCCAGTATTTCTGGTAACATCCACCATTAAAAAAGAAAAAAGAACTTTTTTGAAAACGAGGTTTTGATAATTCTCATTCTACATTAGAATTGCTTTAAATTAAGTTATAACTAATCCTGAGACAACACACTGCCAGCAATTTTTAACTAAGTTTTTACATTAGTATAACCTTGAGTTGTTTTAAAAACTGTATTCCTTATACGCAATTTTACCCTAGTTGGTAACTCCCTGAGTTTCAAACAAACTAAACAAACACAATTCATGAGACCTGGGACTTAAAACAAGTTTACCACTAAGTGCAAACCACCCTTACATACCGACAGTTGCAGAAAGTTTCACAGGGTAACACCCAGCCCATTGGCATGATGCATATGAAACGATTTTACGACACTGGATTTTCACTGTAGATATCCTGGCTTGTATCAAGAATAGTGTGGCCAGCAGGAGTAGGGAAGTCATCGTGCCTCTGTACTGGGCACTGGTGAGGCCTCACCTCGAGTACTGTGTTCAGTTCTGGGCCCCTCACTACAGGAAAGACATTGAAGTGCTGGAGCGTTGTCCAGAGGAGAGCCACCAAGCTGGGGAGGGGCCTGGAGAACAAGTCCTACGAGGAGAGGCTGAGGGAACTAGGCATGTTTAGTTTGGAGAAGAGGAGGCTGAAGGGAGACCTCATTGCCCTCTACAACTACCTGAAAGGAGGGTGTAGAGAGGCAGGTGTTGGCCTCTTCTCCCAAAGGACGAACGACAAGACCAGAGGAAATGGTCTGAAGTTGGGGCAGGGGAGATTTAGATGAGATATTAGAAAGAACTACTTTACTGAGAGGGTGGTCAGGCCCTGGAACAGCCTGCCCAGGGAGGTGGTGGAGTCAACATCCCTGGAGGTATTTAAGAAACGTATAGACATGGCTCTTCAGGGCATGCTCTAGTGCCCAAGGTTATTGGTTTATGGTGAGGTGTTGATTGTGGGGTTTAGTTGGTGGGTGCGGTGTTTTTGGTGGGCATTTGGTGTGGTGTGTGTGTTTTGTGGGGTTTTTTTTGGTTTTGTTTTGTTTTGTTTTTTGGTGGTTGGACTCGATGATCTCAGAGGTCCCTTCCAACCACTAAGATTCTGTGATTATGTGATTCTGTGATATGTTTTAAAATAAGCATTTATTTCCTAGCTCTTCGTTTTCTAGCTGGCAAACCGCAGCAGTGCCAGTCTGTAGGGAAGGCAGGGGCTGGCAGCTGGCAGGGCAGGCAGGAGCAGCGCTGCCAGCTTGCCCAGACAGGGCTGGGTGCTGCTGCTGCAGAGCATGCCCATGCTGGCACCAGAGTGCCTCTGCCCACCTCCAAGACATTACACTCGCCCACTCAACACCAGAAAAAAAATGTTATTTTAATGTCATACAAACTGGGCAAGCCCTGCTGTTTTCGCTGGTTTTTTGCAGCAGGCAGAGCCATACGCGTGGGCACCTGCTTCTGAGGGCGTTTGCTCAGCAGAGGATCACCCTGCCCTCAGGTTTTGTGGCTCCCACACCCATGTCAGCAGCAGAAAAGGCCCCTGTGAGCCAGCCTCCAGCCCAGAACCCATAGTCCAGCACTAACCCCCTACCTGCTTCCACCAGCAAGCATGGGCTGACAAAACCAGCTTTCCTGCTGAAGGACCATAGAATCACATGGCTGGAATAGAATCATAGATTGGTTGGGGTTGGAAGGGACATCAAAGATATCTAGTTCCAACCCCCCTGCCCTGGGCAGGGACACCTCCCACCAGACCAGGTTGCTCCAAGCCCCATCCAGCCTGGCCTTGAACCCCTCCAGGGATGGGGCAGCCACAGCTTCTCTGGGCAACCTGTTCCAGTGTCTCACCACCGTCATAGTAAAAAATTTCTTCCCAATATCTAATCTGAATCTTTTTTCTTCCAATTTAAAACCGTTTCCCCTTGTCCTATCATTACCCTTCCTGGCAAAGAGTCCTTCTCCACCTTTGAAGAAGAAAGGGATCTTTGAGATCATTGAGTCCAACCATACACACACACAAAAAAAAAAAAAACCCAACCCAACAATCTCAGGCACCAGATCATGCCCTGAAGTGCCATGTCTACACGTTTCTTAAATACCTCCAGGGATGGTGACTCCACCACCTCCCTGGGCAGGCTGTTCCAGTGCCTGACCACCCTCTCAGGAAAGTCATTCTTCCTGATATTTAATCTAAACCTCCCCTGCCCCAACTTCAGACCATTTCCCCATGTCCTGTCATGACCACGGGCAGTAAAGATTAGCAGAGAAACAAATGAGACTTGTAACACCTTAAACCAGTAAAGATGCTAAATGGGAAAGAAAGGGAAATACTACTACATTATAAGAACCAGGAACAGACCTCTCATCTCCAACATGTTCTACGTAGCTCTGCCCAGTGCAGAGGGATACTTCAGGGATTGCTGAAGTCCCAACATGCTTCTCCACCAACTTTTGCAGAGAGCAAACACTTTGCTTGCCAGAAGGGGCTCCTCTAGGACTCAGCAGATTCCCACAGCATCTCCACATTGTTACTTCCAAGAAAAAAAAAATCAGTAAACAAATTCTTGGTCCCTTACAAATGTCAGGAAACAGGCCCCAAAGCAGATGTGCAAATTGTGGGCGTTTGCTTCCCTCGTGAAACTACAGTTGTAATTTTAATACATTTTAATCCACGTTTATCCTCCTGCCACAGACAGGTGTAAAATAAAGAACTGAAAAGCAAGTCTGAGAAGAGTTCTTTTTCATCACATGGCTAGAATAACAATTAAAAATTAAAACAAATGGAAACCAAGCGAATTCTGAGAAGCTTCATTTCTAAAAATGACTAGTGAATTTACTTACCAATAAAGGTTTGGAAACACACCCAACATGATTTCTCCCAAGGCAGCAAAGGATACTGGAAACCCATTTGAAGAACATGTCATGCTAGACATTTAGGACTTTCTGAAAATACTTTTTAAAGTTCAACTGAAAATGTTTCAAGGCAAAGAGAATCGAATCCGAGATCCAGTAACTAACATCACTACATAGGCTGCATCTCGCATGTATAAAGCAGGGTATCTAGTTTCTCAGACATAATCTGCTGGCCCTTTGAAAACTTCCTTACGAAAAAGACACTGAGAAGTGCATCCAGCAAAAATTTTGAGGTCTTCATTGGTCAACAAACAATCCTAAAATGTTTGAGAAAGCAGAAAGATTTCAGGGCTCTCTTCTTAACCTATGAAGATTTTCCTTGAAGGCAATCAAGGCCTCCTTGGCTAAGCAGGCGGTGGGGTCCTGCACCTCCAGCTCTACAGCCACCACTGCCACCTTGCCCAAACCACACCCTGCCCCATCTGCCCATCCCATGCCCATCTCCTCCAGCCCAGAGGAGAAGAGGCACACCACCAGGCAGAGGCCCACGTTACGGGGTCTGCCCCAGCTGGGCTCCTCCACAGAGAGCCATAGCCCCAGGTCCCAGGTGTGACCCCAGCAGAGGAGTCAAGGGGAGCAGGAACCCTTCACATTGGGCACATACGCAAACACATCCATATTCCCTTCTGTAACTTACAGTGATTTTTTCCAGTGTATTTTAAATTTGGAAGATGCTAGAAGCATTGATTCAGTTCTGTGGGGAAAAAAAGGATGGCTGATTACCAAGACCTCCAAAACGCTCACCCACAAGGGACAGGAG